GATCTCTTGACCTCGTGATCCACCCGCCTCGGCCTCCCAAAGTGCTGGGATTACAGGCTTGAGCCACCGTGCCCGGCTTGCTTGATTATTAATTGAAAGCATTTGGGCCAGGCATGATGGCTCACACCTATAATCCCAGCACTTTGGGAGGCCAAGGCGGGCGGATCGCCTGAGGTCAGGAGTTCAAGACCAGCCTGACCAACATGGAGAAATCCCGTCTCTACTAAAAATACAAAATTAGCCGGTCGAGGTGGCGCATGCCTATAATCTCAGCTACTCAGGGGGCTGAGGCAGGAGAATTGCTTGAACCTGGGAAGAGGAGGTTTCATTGAGTCTAGATTTTGCCATTGCACTCCAACCTGGGCAACAAGAGTAAGACTCCATCTCAAAAAAAATAAATAATAAAGCATTTGGCCAGTAAGAGGTTTGTCATTGGACTCTTGGCTACATATAATTATATATACTTGCATAGGGCCTTATAATCTTTTTTCCTCCTAAATATGTGCAGCATTAAAGTTTCACTATGTGCTTTTTAAAAAGTTGTATTAACAAAATGACATTTTCTTAATATCTTTCAGATTCAATTAGCAGAGCCTCACAGACAATGGCCAAATGTGTCAAAGCTGTCACAGAGGGTGCCCAGGCAGTCGAGGAACCATCCATATGCTGAAGCATCTCCTAGGAGCCCAGTTTTGCCACAGATAATTAATGGACAACTATAGTGGAGTGATCCCTTGCAGGTTTATTTCTTTGTTAAAAAAAAAAAAAAAAACCTGAATCATGTAATATTTAAGGTTATGCTCTACGTATTTGAAAATGATATTATCAACTTTGCAGTTTCAAAAGCATGCATTGTGTGTAATGTTAAATAGTAAAACTTTATGCAGATGCTCTTAAAAGCATTGATAACCTTTGCGACAAATATAAAGAAATTGTTAAAGTATGAGCTGTTTGCCGGGCGCGGTGGCTCAAGCCTGTAATCCCAGCACTTTGGGAGGCCGAGG